GGGGGGTTGCAAAGCCCGTGCGCTGGCCAGTTTGGTTTGCAGGTGCGGAAGGGCTTGGACTGCTCCGCTCCCCTTGTTTGCCTTGGCTTATTTTTTATTTTTTTGGGGGGCCAAGGCTGAGGGGGGGGAAAGGCGTGGTCTTTCCCCACCGGTGGGGTGTTTGGGTTTTTTTTTTGCATGTAACGGTCGGGCCTTCCCCGGGCCCGTGCTGCCCTCTTCCGGCACCAGCGGCTTTTTTTTACAACCCAAAGTTTGTAAACAAGAGTCACGTGCTGGCGAGGGGGTGGCAGGTCACACATCCCCGGGGATGCTCAGACAAGGATCTGGGAGCAGGCAGCATCCACCTGACAGCTCTGCCTATATCCCGTAGGAACACGGGTGTACAGCCCACCAGAGTGGATCCGCTACCACCGCTACCATGGCCGTTCGGCAACGATCTGGTCCCTGGGCGTTCTGCTCTATGACATGGTCTGCGGGGACGTCCCCTTTGAGCAGGACGAGGACATCATCGGGGGCCAGCTCTTCTTCCGACGGCGGGTCTCTCTAGGTGAGTACCCGGCTTTGCAGGGATAATGGGTTTTGGGAGACAGCACCGAGCACACAAGTATTTCGCTCTTACAGCGGTGAAGGCGGTTGATCTCCCATGGTTAGCTGGAGGAGGTGGCACATCCTGCCAGCCTGCTGTCCTCCAAAACGGATAATCGATTGGGTGCAGCTCTGAGCACACCCAGCATGGCCCAGCAGTACAAGGCAGACAGGAGCCTTCTCTGACTGACCAGCGGTTTCTGGTTTCTCTCCCCAGAGTGCCAGCACCTCATCAGGTGGTGTTTGTCTATGCGCCCCTCGGACAGGCCATCTTTGGATGACCTTTTCAATCATCCGTGGCTGCAAGACATTCACCTGCCCCAGGAGACAGCAGAGATCCACCTGCACAGTTTGATCCAGGAGCCTGGCAAATAACAGCTCCATGTATCTCCTGGCCAGAAGAAGCAAAGACCACCAGACTTCTTCCTTGTCACCATAGCGCTGCTTCCTTGTCACCATAGCGCTGAGCGGGGATCATCAGATGGGAAGGCGCACATCTTGTCCTGGAGCTGGGCTGGAGACCTGGTCTTCCAAGTGATGGTGGTCACCATCCAACCCAGCTGGCCTGGACTCCCATCTGAATGACCCTCTCTCATTGGATGGTTTGCCAGTAAATTTTTTTTGGTTTGGTTTTTTTTTGTTTGTTTGTTTTGGTTCTGGTTTTGGAGGCTCCCAAGTGTCTTCCTGACCTGCTGAATTCGGGACCGCGAGAAGATCGGAGACCTTATTGCGAGAAAGTCTTCAACGGGGGAAAATTGACTGGGGGGGAGGGCAGGTACCGCAGCCGAATGGCTGTCTCTTCTCCGCTGTCACCGTGCTCGAGTGCCTTCAGTTGCGATCTGGGCTGTGCTGGAGGAAATACTTGAATTTTCCTACACTGCTGCTTTTCCAAGACTCACCTGGGTATATAGTTCCTTTTCCCTTTTCAAAAACAAAACGGGTCAGAAGATGCTTAGGAGCCAAGCGGGCAATGCCTCGCCTCCCGTGCCTCCATCTCGCGTGGATTTTCTGGGGTTCTTTGCTTCCCTGTGCCCTCATGAATGCACAAACAATGCAAACCAACAGAGCTGTAAATGTGTAAAAAGTTATACAGGACCGAAGTTTGATGTACAGTTGTTAATAGCGATAACATTTACCTGGTTTTTTTTCCAGTTTTCGTTTTTAATTTATTTTCATGAATTTGTTTTTTGTTTTTTTAAGAGAGTTCTAGCCAGTAGGATAACTTATTTATTTATTTATAATTCATGTGGGTTTCCAACCCACGCCTTGCTTCTACAGCTGCTGATCCCCCTGGTTTTCCATTCGAGTCTTCCCTCTGTGTCTGTCCTGTGTCCATCCCTGGGTCCATAATGTTCCTGTCGGATGTCTGGTGGAGGTGCGGAGCGGCTGCCTGCTCCCCAGCTGTCTGTGTGCATAGTTCTGGTTGATGTTGTTTCCTCGCCACGTGCAGATCTCAGTTTGCAGATGAGTTTTGGTTTTCCCCATGGGTGTCTTGTCGGGCTGGGGAGGGGGGAGCCAGCCCAGGCTGTCCGCGCTGTTGAGTCTTTACATGTAACCAAGTGTGTAGCTGGCAGGTTTGTGGTTTTGGTTTTTTTTGTTAATAGTTAATATTGTACAGGGGAATTCAGAAATCTTATTTTTTTTATGCGGTTTTAAATAAAAACGAACCACTTGACGTGATGGAGACATCCCTTCATTGCGGTGTGGGGTGAAGGATGCTGGGAGTTCGTGGGTAAGGTGACCACACCGTGGCTACTGAGAGGACTGCCAGCTTGTCTCCAGCTGAGACTTAACTCCAAAGTTTTGCTGAGCGGCGTTAACCAGGACCAGCCAGCTGAAAGCACCATGGGGAAGGCTGGATCCAGCCTTCGGTGGGGTGTTTCCAGTGCTGACTGCTTCTGGCAGGTCTCCTGGGAGAGATCAAAGGAGTGTGGAGCCCTTGTCGTTTCCATTCATCCACAGGCTGGTGCGGAGCATGTGCTGGGGATGGTGAGTAAACAAAGATCAAAGCAACCTTATGAAAGGCCGGATGTTGTCAGCCAAATTAAATTTTGGTAAGGCAGATCCTGTTGCTCCGGCTCTGTTGGCGCGGAGCGGGTGTTGCATGCTGGGTGCCGGTGGGTGAAAAAAGCTGCCGGCGGGCTGTCCCCACCTCCAGCTCGGCTGTGGCAAACGCGGAGTGAGAGGAAGTCGATCTTCGGATTACAAGAAGTTGGTCGCTATCAGTCAGCAGTGGTAATGCTTCGCTCAAGCTTTTACCCTCCAAACTGTCAAACCCCATTTCCCAGCTCCACGGTGCTTCAGCTTTAGGGTGTTGGGTTTTGTTTTTTGTTTCTTGGTAATTTTTTTAAAATTAATTTAATATGCTCAGTTTTGAAGCTCTCTTCCTGCTTGACCTCATGGGGCACTTGCTGCTGTGTGCACACAGGGCTGTGTCTCCTACTCCAAGGAAGGCGCACATTTCCCTTTCTGCAAGTTACTTTGCAAGGCCCCCAGCCGGATCTGACACAGATCAGGGCTTTCCTTGGCTTGCCCCATGGCTTTTTTGCTTAAAACCCCCATGCCCAGGGAGTCCCCTC